ACTCTTTCCTGCCTATGCAGGGGGTCGGACTCGAAGATCTATTGAGGTCCCTTCCAACCCTAACATCTATGAATCTATATGCCTAAATTCCTTTGAAAATCTAGTCCCTGGAGACATCAATCCTACTGACTTTCAACAGACTTAGGTTTTTTATTTTTATTTTTTTTAATTCAACTTAGATACTAAAACCATTTAAATGTTTTTGAAAATGTTACTCAATCTAACAATTTGATGTTGTGAATCTTGCAAATTCATTTCCTCGACAAGACTGAATAGAGGTTTCCACTGAATCTGATCGATATAAGCAGATTTTGTTATGCTGGTGTTCACTTTCAAGGCATACAATAGGAGATAAAACTTAGAATGCAGGACCCTTTAAGGATGATTCATATGCTGGCATCACAACAGCCACTGAAGCTTAAGACAATCTGACCCAACAATCTCAACATGGTCTGAACACCTGCCAACTTTGTTCTACCTTCACCATCTGGACAAAATTCACGTAGCTCTGATGAAGGGAAGAAACTCTTGAGCTCTCTGTACATAACAAATTTCAGTCAGTAACCCAAAGGCCAGTTTCTCTACAGATTTTACCACCCATGAGCATAAAAATAGGCATATCAACTGAATTAAAGAAAAGCAAAGAAAAACAAAATAGGAAAATCAAATTGAAAATAAAAATAAATGAGTTTTGTGTAAATGCTGAGTAAATGCTGAGTAAAAATGCAATAAAACAGATAATGGTTTAAATAATTTAGTATTATCAATCCCATAGAAAATACAGGCAGAAGGGGGGACAGAGTGGCACTTTAGAAACTAATTAAAAAAGATGTAAGCTTTTGTAGGTATCATAGCTATTCATAACATCTGATGAAGGGTGTCATGAGACCCTTTCATTATTAAGCATGCAAACACCTACACATGATTCACAAGATAAGCCAATGTCAAAAACATCTGACCTGTTACCATCTCTCTGCATTCTTTGCAACTGAAAAAATGCTCTATTATTTTTCCATAGTCTAAAAACAAGTGAAAACTAAGAGCTGGCATTTTCCAAGATGTTGAGTCTAAGAATGTTGAGAATCACTAGCTTATGCCTTTCTGAACAAGTTAATCTCTAAAGCAGGGGCGGGCAAAATCCAGCCTGCCAGGCCATTCTATCTGACACACAGGGCCCCTAAAAAATTTAGAAAATTAATATTTATCTGCCC